ATATTGATCTTTCGTGTTTATCTTTTTCAATTTGATGCTTGAAAAATATGGTTGAAGTGTTGACTTCCTAGGTGCTTGTACGTTTTGGGGGTTATGCGATGATATGGTTTGTTCTGTTTGTTATGGTTTTAGACAATAGGGGGCTTTGTTTGGAACAGTGGTGTTTGGGCTCTTCACGGGTTAAAGATTGGATAGCGCAAGTGATATGTAACAAACAATACAAAATCTCATTTCAGGCTTTTGAAATATGGGATCAGTCTGTTGCGTTGCTGCTAGAGACAAGACTATTGGCGTTGGATCTAGTAGTGAAACGCAGCCTAGGAATGTTCGTCACTCGCCGAGTTGGAGCTTTAGATGGGATCATCCTGGGCGTGTTGTTGGTGAGGAAGTTTCCCTAAATTCGATTTCAGATGGAGTAAGTAGGAACGAGCGGCCTGAGTTCAAGTATGAATCCTCATATGCATCAGAAGAGGGTAGTCCATTGGATAGACAGACATGGAAAAACTCCTCAGTATCTGAAGGAAGCACGACGAATGTGAGGACACCTACATCAGGTATTCTGCAGATAGACATCCTTCTAATTTTTACCTCTGTCATTTGTCTTTCACATGATGTGTGTTGGGTTTGATAAAAAACTAAATATTCGTGGGGGATTCTTCTTCTGTTTTGTTGGGTGGGAGGAATTGATTTGAATTCTCATACTTTTGAAAGACTTAAATGAGTGCCGATAAGAAACTAGAGCAATGATAGCAAGACAGAGTTTAATTCTTTTATATTCCCTATAATTCAATATTCTTGGCTTGTGGGTTTGGTATAGCTTGCTGCTGCCCCACAGATTTGTAAATTTTGTGCTATTGCAAAGCCTCTCGGTCATGAACAATATTTTCCACGTTTTGAAACTTGTTAAACGTGTTGAAAAAGGGAGACTTTGTAGGTTTCGCTTGTATTAATTTTATTGCTATGATAATAGCTCTACTCGAAGGCATTGAAATAGGGAACAGCTAAATATCGAACTTGCCCTGATGTGTCCATGGTCTTCTGCATCCCATCTCATGATTTTTCCTTGGTATTGTGACAGGTCGTTCAATTTCAAGAAATATTTTCACGGATGTTAGTTTGGAACAGGTAGAGCTTTCCCTGTTTGCACGTATGGTTTTATATTCTCCATTATTTTCTCGCCTGGTAAATTATTGTACGTGTAGTTTGAAGTTGTTTCTATTACTGAATCAGGTGAAGAAAGCTACAGAATGTCCGACAACATCTACATCTCCTGCAAAAGTATCCCTTTCAATCCCTTCAATTTCATCTTTTTCAACATCCCCTCTATCAACCCACAGCCATCTGCCTTCTGCCGGTTTGACATCATCAAGATTGTCTCACTGTTCTCCCGGAGACCGATTATTACGTCAAGTATCTGGTAACCGCATCCCAGCATACAAGTCACCGGGTAGCTACATAGTTTCAGAGGATAAGCGTACAATCCCTGGGAGCAATGATTCATTGCGGGGCTCACATGGTGGATCCTCCGATGGTTGGTCTATGAATGCTTTCTCTGAGCTCATGGCAACTTCACATAGGGGAAGATGGTCCTTTGGTAGTGAATCCTTCGACTTTGCTCGTGAGAAGATGGTTAGATCCTGCAGCTTATTCTCGACTTCGCCTTCAACTGATGCACAAACATGCGGAATTTGCTCAATGTTGTTGGTTGAGAGATCCTTATGGACCAGCCAAAAGATAATTGCTAACAATGAGCTGTCTGTCGTTGCCGTCCTAACTTGTGGACATGTTTATCATGCCGAGTGTTTGGAGAATATGACACCTGAAGTTAGCAAGTATGATCCAGCCTGCCCAATATGTTCATTTGGTGAAAAGCAGACACTAAGGATGTCTGAAAAGGCACTTAGAGGTGAATTAGAATTGAAAATTAGAAACAAGAGGTTAAGGAATCGCATTGCCGATAGCGGTTTTGATGGTGAATCTAACATGTTTGATCATTTTATAAATGGTGGACAACAAGAGAAGTGTCCTAAGCTGTCCTCTAGCTCCAGTTTGAGAGGTTCTTCAGGGAAGGGTTTCTTGAGGCGTCACTTCTCCTTTGGCTCAAAGGGGGGAGGGACTAAAGCTCTGCCACAAAGTAACAACACAGCTAAGAGAAAGGGATTGTTATGGTCAAGATCTACTAAGATGTAACATTTTCTGTTGCTTCATATGGGAGGTGAGCTTAACTATCTCATCTGCATGTTCCTTCTCATTTTGTAGGCCATCTTGTTAGTAATCACGACTCTCTACAATGGTATGATATTGTCCACTTTGAGCATAAGCTCTCATGGTTTTGCTTTGGGCTTCTCCAAAAGGCCTCATACCAATGGGGATGTATTCCTTACTTATAGATCCATGATAATTCCCTAAATTAGTCAATGTAGGACTCCCTCTCAACAATCCTCCCCTTGAACAAAGTACACTAAAGAGCCTCCCTTAAGGAACCCTCAAACAGCCTCCCCTTAATCAAGGCTCGACTCCTTCTCTGGAGTCCTCGAACAAAGTACACCCTTGTTCGATATTTGTTTGGCATTTGAGGATTATATTGACATGGCTAAGTTAAGGGCATGGCTCTAGTACCATGTTAGTAATCACAACTCTCTATAATGGTATGATACTGTCCATTTTGAGCATAAGCTCTCGTGGTTTTGCTTTGGGCTTTCCCAAAAGGGCTTATACCAATGGGGATGTATTCCTTACTTATAAATCCGTGATCATTCTTAAATTAGTCGATGTAGGACTCCCTCCCAACCATCCTCAACACATGGTTTCCACATACCTCCAATGGAAGTGTTTGCTGCTAATTTTCTTACTTTTTAGGATATTGAAAGTGGAACACTGTTGGATTTTTGTTTAACCAACAATTGTTCATGAACGCAGGTTCTGCAATTCACCTCTGCTAGGCAGCTGGTAAACAGTGAAGAATGCAAGATAGAATTGACATAGGGGATATTACAATATCCTCTGGGTTTGGATAGTTGGATATTTTTTTTTTTTTTTTTTATGAAATTCATACAGGCTTTTAGGTTGTGGAGTCAACACTGTATATAGGAACGTAGGGTAAGAGAAGAAACAGTTCAGATAACAAGATTGAAAGATTGAAATCTGCATTATGACGCCTTAGATTGGAGATTTTCATTCTTATCTTGCACAAATCAATATGATTTCACTTGGATAATTGTATGCATTGATCAAACTTGTGTTCTGAATTCTGATAGACTGCCTGACCGTGGGTGGCTGTCGTTTTTGCGCTGCAACTAGCAAGGAAATATCAGGTACGATCAGTGGACTCCAATCCTTTCCCATTTACAGGCTTTGTTTGATTCTTATTGTTGTGTAAAAATTGGTATATACAATATTGACCGACCAAGAGTTCAGGTCATTTTCTTGTACGTTTATGTGGGTACTCCATTTTGTTCAGTCCTGTCGCTCCTTGTTCTTATTCCATTTCCCTTTTGTTGAGGACATCTTTAGGCCGGTTATCGTCCTTGTCTAAAGGACTCCTCAATGTATTTCATTTTGTCATTAAAAAAAAGCAAAAATGGCTGAATAGTGTCGATACAATTTATTATATCTTGATGATGAGATAATTCCATCTTGAAAAGAGAAGCCGCCCTCTATTCAAATTCCAGTTGTCTAAACTCTGGTTCTTGTCTTACTTGCAATTGCAAGTTTTTTAGCACGTAGTGTCAATAGTCTCCTTTTTTGTCCCACCGAATAAAGATTGAATCCTTGTCTTTCACTGTTTTTGCCCGAGAGGTGGCCGAAAGTCTTTTTTCAACCAGGAGCAGCGGTACTAGGGTGTTGAGCTTGAGGACGAAGGAGTTTGAGGTGAGGTGTCGGGGGATGTATGGTAAACTTAGTATCAAGTTTGTGTATATAAAGCTTATTTCCCCAGTTTGTTTACACTCCTACAATTTAGCCAGAATGCCAGCACAATTAAGATAGAGATGGTTGTTAAATGTTTTGGATTTGAATTGGTTTCATCACAGAAGCTGACACCTATCATATAAATGTCTAACGTGGCAACCCAAAAGAGAGTACGTGTTAGGCTTAGACAGGTACCTAGCTTCTGCTTTTAAGGCTATTTCTTATCCTCTTGAGTGTGTAAATGGAAGGGATGAGAATGGCGAAAATGGCTGATATACAGGACGAGTATGGCAACCCCATCCAACCCACTGACGAGCATGGCAACCCGGTTGTGTTGACTGATGAACATGGCAACCCCGTGAGGTTCTTTGGCGTTGCAACTAAGGTCGGCACGACACTCGGGTCGCTGATCTTTGGCAGTGGTGGTGAGGATGGTGGTGGCCATGGCGGTGATTCTGATGCTAAAGGTAGTTCAGGTGGTGGCAATGGCGTCCGTGAGCAGGAGCTGATGCCGGTCGAGGAGAATGAAGATGGCGGCTCAGGTACACATGTTGGCTCGGCCACTTCAGGCTCTAGTCCGGTGAGTCCAAGCTTTTGAATTATAATTGCCGTTGGACTTTCGTATTCCCACTCAGTCTTTCTCTCTTTCTCTAATTCTCTCGATTTTCTATTCTGGCGCTGCTCAATCATATTTTTTTGATATCAAGTTAAGTTAATTGCCGTTGGATTTTCTATTCTGGATTTATTGACATTGTTAAGTTAAGGGCACGACTTTGATATCAAGTTAGAAACTACGACTTTTACTAAGTTAAAGGCATGACTTTGATACAAGTTAGAAACTACGACTGTTCACTAACTAAGTTGTTAAGGGCATGACTAATACCAAATTAGAAACTGCGATTCTCTACAATGGTATTGATGTTGTCCCTTCACTACATTAAGGGCATGACTTTGATACTAAATTAGAAACTACGACTCCACAATAGTATTGATGTTGTTCACTTTGAGCCTAAGTTCTCATAACTTTGCTTTTCGAAAGGAACTTTCGAAAAGGCATCATACCAATGGAGATGTATTCTGCAAATCGGCCAACAATCCTCAACAAAATAATCATGGGAAAAAATAGAAAGGCGCGAATTCTATTTTTACTTCAAAATTATTGAGTTTATAGGCTCAATAGAAATTGAACTAGAAAGTAAAAAGGGTCATACTCGAGATTTATAATCTATGTGGGTAAAATTCTAATTTATAAAATTTACTAAACTCTGAAGTCCAATTTTTTTTATTTAATCCTTATAATACATGGTTTTTTTTTAAACAATATTAATAAAATAAAATTTGACGTACCGGATGGTCGGATGATGAATGAACGCGTATTAATATATCGAGTAATGAAATGGGTTAGAATTTAATTTATTTGTAATATCCTATTTAAGTTGTAATAAATTAGATAATTAAATATCCTATTTTACTATGAATTTATTTCCAGTCTGAGGAAGAACAACAAAGTGAGAAGAGGAAGAAGAAAGGACTGACTCAAAAGATAAAAGAGAAGCTAACAGGAGGAAAGCACAAAGAAGAGCAGCCTCAACCTTCTTTCCCTCCGACCACGAAAAGAGAAGCTAACAGGAGGAAAGCACAAAGAAGAGCAGCCTCAACCTTCTTTCCCTCCGACCACGATGACAACTACAACTGCCTCTCCGATCACCACGAACAAAATTCACCACGGAGAACCCGCCCATAATATTCTCTAAACTTCATTTTCAAACTTTTAGTTAAGCTTTTGGTTCGTGTACTTGAAAACCTTATAATATTCTCTAAACTTCATTTTCAAACTTTTAGTTAAGCTTTTGGTTCGTGTACTTGAAAACCTTACTCCATTCTCAAAGATTTTGATTCGGCTTCAAAGTTAGTAGATCATATTTTAGTTCGTAGACTTTCATCCATGAGGTAAATTGATTTTTTTATTATACCGTAAAAAAAAACATATTTTAGTTCGTAGACTTTCATCCATGAGGTAAATTGATTTTTTTATTATACCGTAAAAAAAAAAAATGTAAGAATGTAATTTTTTATAAATTTGAGAGATTTTACATCGAGAGAAATGTGGAAACTTCTCCTCTACGTTTTAAAATCTATGTGGTAAAATAGATAGTATCTACGACTCGGAGGATAATATTTGATAAATATATATTTTTAATATTAATATATTTTTCATTAATATTTTTAATCAATTATTTTTTACCATGTATAAGTTGTATTTAAAAATAAAATCCATTTAATTGATTCTTTTATTAAAAGAAATAAGCGACAAAAAAAAACTATTTCTAACTATGTGTTTATAAAAAAATAATTTTTATATTAAAAGAAATAAGCGACAAAAAAAAACTATTTCTAACTATGTGTTTATAAAAAAATAATTTTTATTAGCCTAAATTTATTATTATTTCCCGGATTTTATTTTATTTAAAATTGAAACATTTAAATAAATTTCAAGTTTTTATATTAACATTTTATTTAGAAACTAAATAAAAAATATCCAAATTTTGAAAATTGGATCGGTGGTCAATACAAGATTCATATTTTTAGCCGTTGGATTTTATGAATAAATAAAATAAATAAATCATTACTATTTTTTTTTCAAATTAAAAAATATATTTAATTTTAAATTGAAAATTAATGGATGGAACAAATGGATGCAGGGGAGAAATTGATTCTGTTCCATTGATAAAATAGAAAGGTTTATTTTTCTTTGGAATTAAATAATAATAATAATAAAATAAAAATTATAATAATAGTGTAATTATTCTATTATATATTGCCCTTTTAGCCTCCGACAATTCCAAAAAAAAAAAAAATGGAGGATAAAGGAAACGACATGATGGCTTTTGAAATGGGTTCTCTTAGGTCAAATCTTCCTCAAAAGTAAGCAATTTTGGTTTCTTAGGTCAATTTTTCCGTTCTCGGTGTTGGATGATGAAAGTCCCACGTCGGTTAATTTAGGGATGGTCATGGGTTTATAATCTAAGAATACACTCTTCATTGGTATGAGGCCTTTTGGGAAGCCCAAAGCAAAGCCATGAAAGCTTATGCTCAAAGTGGACAATATCATACCATTGTGGAGAGTCGTGTTCGTCTAACATGGTATCAGAGCCATGCCCTAAACTTGGCCGTGCCAATAGATTGGCAAATCCTCAAATGTCGAACAAAGGACTCCAAAAAGGAGTCAAGCCTCCTTGAAGGTACGAAGGCAGTCAAAAATGACTAAGACTCCAAAGGAGTCAAGCCTCGATTAAGGGGAGGCGTGCTTTGTTCGAGGGGAGGTGTTGAATGATGAAAGTCCCACGTCGGTTAATTTAGGGAATGGTCATGGGTTTATAATCTAAGAATACACTCTCCATTGGTATGAGGCCTTTTGGGAAGCCCAAAGCAAAGCCATGAAAGCTTATGCTCAAAGTGGACAATATCATACCATTGTGGAGAGTCGTGTTCGTCTAACATGGTATCAGAGCCATGCCCTAAACTTGGCCGTGCCAATAGATTGGCAAATCCTCAAATGTCGAACAAAGGACTCCAAAAAGGAGTCAAGCCTCCTTGAAGGTACGAAGGCAGTCAAAAATGACTAAGACTCCAAAGGAGTCAAGCCTCCTTGAAGGTACGAAGGCAGTCAAAAATGACTAAGACTCCAAAGGAGTCAAGCCTCGATTAAGGGGAGGCGTGCTTTGTTCGAGGGGAGGTGTTGAATGATGAAAGTCACACGTCGGTTAATTTAGGGAATGGTCATGGGTTTATAATCTAAGAATACACTCTTCATTGGTATGAGGCCTTTTGGGAAGCCCAAAGCAAAGCCATGAGAGCTTATGCTCAAAGTGGACAATATCATACCATTGTGGAGAGTCGTGTTCGTCTAACATGGTATCAGAGCCATGCCCTAAACTTGGCCGTGCCAATAGATTGGCAAATCCTCAAATGTCGAACAAAGGACTCCAAAAAGGAGTCAAGCCTCCTTGAAGGTACGAAGGCAGTCAAAAATGACTAAGACTCCAAAGGAGTCAAGCCTCGATTAAGGGGAGGCGTGCTTTGTTCGAGGGGAGGTGTTGAATGATGAAAGTCACACGTCGGTTAATTTAGGGAATGGTCATGGGTTTATAATCTAAGAATACACTCTTCATTGGTATGAGGCCTTTTGGGAAGCCCAAAGCAAAGCCATGAGAGTTTATGCTCAAAGTGGACAATATCATACCATTGTGGAGAGTCGTGTTCGTCTAACACTCGGATCGGTTTTGTTTCGATGATTTTAGGTTGCTCCGTTCGATGACAGTTTCGTTTTTAAATTTTCTGTTATCGGTTTTGTTTCGATGATTTTAGGTTGCTCCGTTCGATGACAGTTTCGTTTTTAAATTTTCTGTTTCTGAAATTTATGTTCGTTTTCTCACAATTTCTTTACGCAGAACGTTTATATTTTTAACCAAATTTCAAAGATAATAACAAGTTTAGTAATTATTAGGGTTTTTTTTTTTTTAAAACCGAGCTTGTTTTCTCACGAGTTTTTTCGGTGGTTTTCGATTTTCGTAATTTCTTAGGTAATATTTGAATTCTAAATCAAATTCGAGAAATATATGTAAATTTGTAAAAATTATTTTTTTTTAACCATGTGATATTTACTTTTTACCGTTTTTCGAAACCCTACTTTGATTTTGATACCGTTTTTCGAAAGTAGGATAAACGACATAAACAGTATTTTATATTATGATTAGGGTTTCGTCGTTTTCGAAACTCAAATGGTCACTACATTGGATTATCAGTTAATTGTAATGATGATGTTGTGTTCGTGTATAGGAGAGGTCTATCTCGATACTACTCGGGAAAGTCTAGGTCGTTTGCTTGCATAGCCGATGTTCGATGTGTAGAAGACTTGAAGAAACCGAAGCATCCAGAAGCTAAGAAAAGAAAAAAACATTCGGAGTGCAAAGAAATTAAGGTCCCTCCTTATCACTGTCGAAGAATTTCTTCTCAGTGTTCCATTCCGTTCTTTACCACATGAATAATTCACACTCGGTTAGATTTTATTAAATCAAGTTGAGAGATTTGAATTTGTGACCTTTTAGTCGAAACGATAATATTGTACCAGTTTATCTGTGTTCGAACTGACTCTGTTGACGATTTTATTATCGTGTTAAAATGAGTCGAAATGTATGATTGACTTCAAGCTGTATATATTTAATTATAATCTCTTTTTTTTTTTTTTGTTGAAATATATAAAATATCCATAAATTTTTACGAAAGTTTCAAGTTATGCCTTAGGACGTTGAAAAGTAGCATTTTTTTAAACTTGAACTTCGAAAATTGTTCCGAAAATACCCTTTAGAGTTTTTTTATAAATAAAATAAGACTAGAAATTGACGAGACAGTAAATAGAGAAACTGACATCATTAGCGTAAATTGATGTAACAATCCCAGCACACCGCTAACACACATTGTCCGCTTTGACTCGTTACGTATCGCTTTCAATGTCACAGTTTTAAAACACTTTTACTTTGGAGAGGGTCAAGCCCTACTCCAACTAGGGCCTCACACTGTTTTGTGACTAGCTTTGATACAGTTTATAACGACCTAAGCCCACCGCTAGTAAATATTGTCTACTTTGGCCTGTTACGTATCATCATCAATTTCATGGACGGTGCAAAGCCCTGGTTGAAGTAGGGCTAGATCCACTTCAAAGTAGACGTGTGTTTAAAATCGTAAGACTAATGAACGTAACAGGTCAAAGCGAATAATATTTACTAGCGGAGAGCTAAGGGTTGATCTGTTAAACCTAATTGGGCTATAGCCCAAAAGATTATCAGGTTCCATTGCAGCCCAGCCCAATGACTTAAAAGCCCACCAAATCGGCCCAAACCAAGTTTAGGCGTCAAAATTCCAAAACCCCCGCTTCAGCTGGAACAGGTTTGAGAATTCGGCAGTTTTTTGCAGTCCGTGGAAAGCCTTCAAGCAGCCATGGGGAAGAACAAGAGGTTTAAGGACGGTGGCGAGAAGGGAGCCGCCGCCGGCGATCACTGCCCTTCCAAGGTTTTTGTCAAGAACTTGCCGTACTCGTTCACTAACTCACAGGTTCGTACTTCCTCTATTGCCTGCTTGTTTTCTGAGAAAAACTTGAGCTGAAGTATGAAAGTAGGAATTTCTTTTTGTACTTTTGTTCCTGAACTCGACTTTTAGAAGCACGCTATCGAGTTCTTTATTATTATCAGAAGTTATTGGTTTTGCAAGCGGTTTGCGGAAAGGCAATGTTTTGATTTGTGTTCTTTCTGATTGTTTTGCTGTTGAATGCAATGTTAGTGACCTTTCCTGTGTTTTCTATGTGAACTAGCTAGAAGAAACATTCAGTGATGTTGGACCGGTCCGGCGGTGCTTCATGGTTACGCAGAGGGGTAAGTACGTCTATGCAGGATTATCTCGGATTGGTGTTTTGTTTTTGTTTTTGCATTTAGTCTAATTTCTGAGATAACTAAAGATTTGGTGATTTGATACAATGAAAGAGCATTTGGTGGAATAGATGGAGTGTTACTGTTTCTATATCTTCCGATGACATGTTGGGATATTTTCATTGACAATTGGTTTAAACTTATGTTATTCTATTTCATCAGGTTCAACTGAGCATCGTGGTTACGGATTCGTGCAGTTGTAAGTCAAATTCCGATCCACACTATTCTTTTCGTTATTGTTCTTGTAGTTCCTCTCTACTTACTGGTCTAAACGTCTTGGTTCTACTCAACCCAATGTTTCCTGTCTGACTATAGTATAGGTCTATGGAAGGCACTTTAGTTTGATAATTGATACTTAATGGATGAACTACTATTATTACCTGTAAAAGTGTTACCTTTTACTTGGAAGCTAGAGCTTCTGTCAATATGGAAAATGCTTTTGTTTCCTATATATGGATATACTAGATGCCTATATGTATCTCTGTTCTTCGGATACTAAATCAGATTTAATATTTTCTTGCTTATGTTGTTCCGTTTTCTATGCAATTGATGGTGTTTTCAGTTTTGATTGTAATAATGGTTTGCTTGTCTATAAGTGTGGAGTGCGTTCAAAGCATCTATGCTTTTATTGAAGTTACTAATTTTCTTGCTTTATCTTGGAGTAAATTATCTTCTCCATTTGTAATTACAGCTAATCTACCCTCCTTTCACACTGAAGCCGTTTTTCGTAACTATCCACATATAGGATAATTCTTTTGTAATTTATTTCATCAATCTATGTAATGGTTTCTGTTTCTATAAGAAAAAACATTGAACCCGTTTTACACTGAGGTTCAAGTTTTTCCAAACACATGCTATTGATTGTCTATCCTGCGGTAATCAATACTGCTTGATGTTTGTCACGATGGACACTAATTTCTTGTCCCTTTTTAATTCTTCTTGTTAAATTTCTATTACCCACGGTTATCCTATGAAGGCTTTGATTTCTTAACTTCGCTGGATTCTTTGAATATGATTGCAGTGCTGTAGCAGAAGATGCGAATCAAGCAATTCAGCAGAAGAATGGGCTGTCTATTGAAGGACGCAAAATTACTGTTAAACATGCAATGCATCGAGCTCCCCTTGAGCAGCGGCGGTCAAAAGAAAATCAAGGTTGATCATGAGATTTTGGAAGTGTCAAAATCCACATGTTGGAGGACTGCTGAAATTTTCTTTCTTTCCTTCTTTCTTCCATGTTTTCCCAGTTTCAGTAGAATGAGTGGGGGTCCTTAGGTTTCTTTCGTATTTTCTTAACGCAGGTATTGCATCTAAGTCAAAAACTAACAAGGAAGGAGATACTTCTGAAAGGGAAGAACAAACAACTAACGAGGATGGAGATACTTCTAAAAGGGAAGAACAAACAACTAACGAGGATGGAGATACTTCTGAAAAGGAAGAACAAACAACTAACGAGGATGGAGATATTTCTAAAAGGGAAGAACAAACAACTTTAAATTCTGAGGGGAGGAAAGGTACTGATTTTTCATAAATTTCTACTATTTTTTACCCAACATATCTGGCAATCTGTTTCTTATTGCTTTCTAATGATGTAACAGAGAGACATTTGAATGCTCAGAAATTGGCTCCACTTTCTAGTTATCTAGAGGATAAAGAGGGTTCTTCAGGAAAGCAAAGGTAATGAACATCTTTTTATTCTTTCTATATTTTGTTCTTTTTTCATGGATTTTGAATGCAAGCTCTGAAGTAATGGCTTGGATAATAAAGTAGTTGGTTTTCTTGACATCTTGTTTGTTTATTTGAAAAATAAGCTTTCCTGAATTTTTCCTTCCACTTTCCTTTTCTTCCTGGTTCACGTTTGTGCATGCTACCTTCCATTAATTTCTCTTTTTTTTGGTTGTTAAGGATTGCAAGGACTGTTGTAGTCGGTGGTCTTCTTAATGCTGATATGGCTGAAGATGTTCACCGCCAAGCTAAAGAAGTTGGTGCTGTATGCTCTATTGTTTATCCTCTGCCCAGAAAAGAAGTTGAACAGCATGGTACACGAGAATCATTTTTTTTGTTTTTATGTACATGAGCAACTATTATAATCTATTATTAGTTTTTTGTTTATATACATAAAAAGGGAAAACAGGATTAAAGCATCATTGTACCTGTTGCTACTGTTCTTGGTTTAGAGCATAGGTATTGGTTGGATTAATTTCTGATGATTAGGTAGTCGATTGGATTTGCTTGAGTTATTATTCATGACGCCAGTTGCATATTAATGTGTGGCTACGATGTTTGACCAATTTTTTTTCAGTTGCCTGTTGTACTTTATAGATTGACTCTGCAGTACGTTGTTTAGTGAATTTGTATTTAGTCTGAAGTTTTTCCAGAATGCATATTTCCCCAATGATCAATCATATCATTTTTCTTGACACTCTCATTACAGATGTAATTTTTTTTTTTCTTATTATACCAATGTATCTTGAGGGTCTACCTAGTTTATGAAGTTCATGATAGTGCTGGCTTTGTTATCTTGATAGTCGATGAAGTTGCAAGTAAAAATGATTCCTTACAAGGTCTTAATAAATTATTATCTCTATTCATCAGGATATCTCATCGATAGTTTGAAATGAAATTTCAGGCCTTTTACGAGATGGATGCAAAATGGATGTTTCAGCTGTACTTTTTGCTAGTGTTAAGTCTGCACGTGCTGCTGTGACCATATTACATCAGAAAGAGATGCAAGGAGGTGTTGTGTGGGCCCGCCAACTGGGTGGGGAGGTGAATGAATATACATTAAACTTTGCTAACTATGAATAGATTTCACATGATCCTTAGAAATAGCTGTCATGAGTGAACTGATTTTTTTTTTGTATCTTTATTAAGTGTTCATACCTTTTTAAATGAGTTCTATATGCCCTTAAAATAATACAATGCCATGGTCAATTAGAATGTCGAAGCTCTTTTAGTAGATTTAAATTGTTAGAGATCATAGATAGGAGTGTCTTAAAGTTTTGTCAAATTCATATATTTGAGTTATTGCAAAATCTTATGCTTTGATGTAAGAAATTCTATTCTGAATGATTTTTTAATGGGTTTCTTGTGTGTCTAAAGTCCTTAAATGTTTACCCCTAATGTTTTGAATCTTAGGTTTAAACTGCTTGCCAACATTAATGCATTTGTTTGGGTGGCCGTAATATGACTTCTATAATTATTCCCTATTATTCAGTCTATTTCTTAATTCCCTTTATATTATGAAAGCTAGGTTTCTTGAAAAAAATGACATGTTCCAATTAAATCTGATTTCACTAGTTGCTTATTCGTTTTTAGTTATGTTGGATAAGTCTAAAACTTTCTGCATTTTCTTTGCAGGGGTCCAAAACTCAGAAATGGAAACTTATTGTTAGAAATCTTCCATTTCAGGTTTCATTTTACCCAATAAGCAATTATCATATTTTCTTACGTGGACAGGTTGACTAAGCAAGCTTATTACTCATTGATGCAGGCCAAAGAGAAAGAAATAAAGGATACCTTTTCATCTGCAGGATTTGTGTGGGATGTGATGGTGCCACATAGTTCAGACACAGGGTAATACTCTTACTTGAATATGCCCCCCTTTTTGTGTGCATTATTAACAGCCACCTGGTTTTATTTTTCAGATTATCGAAGGGTTTTGCGTTTGTCAAATTTACATGCAAGCAGGATGCTGAAAATGTATGTTTTTAATTTTTCTTTTATATTGCCTCATTTAAAGAGTTTAGAATGATCAAGATACATTCAAATCATTTGACACGCTTCCCTTTTTTAGGCTATTAAAAAGTTCAATGGTCAAAAATTTGGTAAAAGGACAATAGCTGTGGACTGGGCCATTCCGAAGAAGATATATAGTTCAGGTGCTAATGCTCCAGTTGATTCAGATGAAGGTTAGTCATTGTATATTTAACCTAATCCAATTTCTTATGTACCCTTTACATGTTTGTTACACCTCTTTGATTGTACCATCTTATCTTTGGTGTCTATATCTTATTTATTTCTCATTTTCTGCTTCTGGTTTTAAGTTTATGGAATGCATTGTGGCTGTCTATCAGTTTGGTTATTATTTTTAATTTTTAATTGTTTTTGTGAGAAACCAAGCTTCCATTAAGATCAAATAGAAAGAGTACACGGGAATACAAGAAAAACCAATTCCGAAAGGTGCCCAACTAAACTAATAAGGGACTCCAATCAAAAGATAGATATAAAATAATACTTGAAGGATAATTACAAAAAGCTTTATACACAGAGGTGCAAAGAGAAGTGTATATCTAGCAAGGGACCGCACCTCCCCAAGACCTCTCAATCCCTTTAAAAATTCTATTAGTTCTTAATTGTTAGAAAAGGAAACAAAAACAGGTCATTAATGAGTGGAAATTGAAAGGATGTGGATGTAAAATCATCTGCCAGTTGGATTTGTGTGTCAACATTTCATGTTATATGAGTTATGGGTTATAGGTAATGTGGGTTTCGGGCACTACTAGGCATGAGGAAACTCCGATGGAAGGACAATGCCAATTTTCCTCGGGTGGTGGGCTTTCACAAATGGTATTTCTTTAGAAGAATTTAATAATGGCATACCATAATCCCAGTGGGCTCATCCTTGCCTTGTTATGAATAACCTATTTACCCTTCAGAAAATTTTCGATTAGACACTCTCTCTTTGTGCCTTTCATCCCTATCCATATTGGTAGGGGGAAGATATTATAATGGGAAAATATTTTGGTGTGGGTAAAAGGTATCTTCGATGGCTTTCAAGTCTTCTTAACACTGTTCTCTAACTATTTGAATTCTTATGGTCCTGTAAAATATTTGTTCTTGTAGTACTAACTGTTGACGGTAACGCATGAGCTTTGTTAGAAAAAAGAAATCCGTTTCTACTCTTCATAAAACACAAGATCTTGTTTTCAGGGGAAGAGACTGAAAAAGACAGAGAAGGTAGCATTAGTAGTGATGATTTGGAAGTTGAAAATGCTGCTGTTCATAACAAATCTCAGCGCTCCGACAAAGATGAAGGTTCTTCAGAGGATTCGGAGAAAGAAGATATTTCCTCGGAGATTGATTTTGAAGGAGAAGCAGAAATTTCAAGAAAAGTACTTGAAAATCTAATTGCATCTTCGGCTAAAGAAGCTCTTCCTTCTCTCATTGATGGTAACCCACCATCTAAAGTGAACAAGGAGCCAGTTCTCGATTCATCAAAGAAGTCATCTGATATGTCTGATAAAGTATCAAATGGGCCCGAAAAGTTAAGTGAAGGCAAAACATCTATTCTTAAGCCAGTAGATGAAGAGGATTTGAAGAGAACAGTTTATATAGGCAATCTTCCATTTGATATTAATAATGAAGAAGTGAAACAGCGGTTTTCTGGATTCGGTGAAGTACTATCCTTCGTACCAGTCCTTCATCAAGTTACAAAGTATGATTTATATTTCCTGATATATTTTTTTAATAACTCGATCCTCTGTAGTCTTTTTTTTGTTTTTTTTTTGTTTTTTCTTTTGTTGACTCCTTCCTTGGTGCAGACGTCCTAGAGGCACTGGTTTTCTCAAGTTTAAAACGGCTGATGCTGCTACTGCTGCTGTTTCATCTGCGAATGTTGCATCTGGTGTGGGAATATTTCTGAAAGGCAGGCAATTGAAAGTATTGAATGCTCTAGATAAGAAATCAGCTAATGAAAAGGAATTGGAGAAGTCAAAAAATGACAACCTTGACCACCGAAATCTTAACCTTGCACAGGTCTTTTTTCCTTCAATGCTTAAAACATTGTCCTTTTCTCTACAACCAAAACTTTCCAGCTTTTGTTTTCTTTATTTTGTATCATGGTCGGATCTTTTTTCTATTCAATACCATGGACTCAAACATTTTACAGGAAGGTATTATTCTCGAGGGAACTCCAGCTGCTGAGGGTGTTTCTGCTAGTGATATGATGAAACGTCAAAGGTACATATCTTCGTGTATATCAATTGCTATATTGTTGTTTCTATATTAGCTTCTATGGTGACAGACGGTCGTCTATCTTTTAGTTTTATCTTAAATTTTATTGAGAAAGAAAAATAAAGAGTACAAGGATCTACTAAAATAGAGCCAGAAAGTAAGGAGGCAAACTAAAAGAGAAGTCCTCCAATCAAGAAAACAAGTTCTTAAGGGTAATTATAAAAGGACTTCACCATTATAAACAGCAGAGAGAATCTAATAAGGCCTCAAACATCACTCAAAGATGTCTCTCAATCCCTCTAAAAGTTATGTTGTTCCTCGATCCTGAAAGATCCCATGGATAGCATACTCCCCCGGACTTGCCAGGTAGAGAAGGAACTTCTCAATCATCTCTCTACATCCCCTATGTCTAGACAAGCATTAAGCTAAACCTCTTAAAGAAATAACTCCAAAGGATATGATCAAGGTCCTCAACCGATCACCTACAAAGAATGTTACACAATGGTCCAATCGAGTTGGGTGCCTTCTCGAAACCTGATCCAAGGTGTTTAGCTCTTTGATGGAGAATTTGCCACAAAAAACTTAACCTTCGTTGGAGTTTTCACCTTTCATGATGAGGCCAAGACAAAACCAGTCGAGGGAGAGGGATTGAGCAACAAAGGAAGAATGATTTACAAAAAGATGTTTGGAAGGATAGACTCCAGATTTGAACATCCTTTCTCTTTGGAATATTACAATACTCTCCAGTCAAAGAAAGGGGGGGGGGGGGGGGGGGGG